TCTACAACACCACATGATTATATATGCAACATATATTATTTATATAGTATATTGACCCATATTAATATAAAACTATATATATAAACATAATTATTTTTATTCAATATAATTTATGTAAAAAATAAATTATTTACTAAAAAAAAAGGAGATCATTTTTGGCGACTAAATCTATTTTTTAGTCGCCAATTCTATACTTTTGGCTACTAATTATATTTTAGTGGCTAAAAAAATTAATTTCCGCCTAAAAATAACCACTTTTGGCGACTAAACTTATTTTTAGTCGCCAAAAACCTCCACTTTTGGCAATTGTAGACTTTTAGTTACTAAATTTTTTTTAGTAGCCAAAAAGCTTCAGTTTTGGCTAGAAAATTTATTTTTGTCGGTAAAACACGTATAATCGGCGACCAAACTATTTTTTAGTCGCCAAAGCCTATACTTTTGGCTACTAAATGTTTTTAGCCGCAAAAAACCTTCACTTTTGGCTACTAAAATTTTTTTAGTCGCTAAAACCCATATAATCGGCGACCAAACTGATTTTTAGTCGCAAATACGTATACATTTGGCTACTAAATTGTTTTAGTCGGCAAAAGTCTTCACTTTTGGCTACTAATTCCATTTTAGTCGCCGAAAATGCTACTTTCAGCGACGAAAGGGGATTTTTTAGTTGCCAATTCTGCTTTTTCTTGTAGTGGTAACCGCAGCCGTTACGCTACGGCCTTTACACCTCGCAACCGCAACCGTGCCACCGCCACTGTTACGGCGACCACAACTGCTTTCAGAATCTTTGTAATATATGCCAACTAACGCTGACTGAAAAAGTTTTTAGTCGCAAAATGTGACATTTTTGGCTAGTAAATTCCTTTTGGTCGCCAAATTTAGTCGCCAAAAGTGTAAATTGTTGTAGTGATACAAAACTTATAAGCAAAACCAAAGTGATAACTTACTGATCTTCTTGGGATGATATTTTTTGTAAACAGCTACTCCAACACTGTTTTCATCTTTCTGTATTCAAAAGGAAATAAGAAAAGAGAATTACGAGTGGAAAGCATAAATAAGAATTTTAATTGAAGGACTTGATGAGAAATTTGTAGACAGAAAGGGAAAAACAAGAAAAAATGAATTACAAAATTTTGATCTCTAAAGACAGTCTTGGGAACCAAACCAACTTGATAAATAAATCTAATACCATGAATTCCAGCACTATTGAATGATACTCACACTAGCAAGGGAATCCACAGCATTGTTAAATGCTAAAACTTCAGCAAAAGCCTGATAAAAATACAAAATAAAATAAAATTATGCATCAATAGAATTGAAATCTGGTCAAAGAAATACTTACTGTATGTATGTTTGGATAGCTAGAAAATTTGTTGTTTGGGTGCAAAACAAGCTAGAAAATGTTTAATGCAAGTAGTACCTGGAAGAGTAGGATGGTGATGATGAAAATGGAGAAAAGCTTCTGCATATTTTGTGTTTGTGAAAATGGCTGAATTATATGAATGAGGAGAAGAATTGGGAGGACTTCTGATGGAAAATGGTTGCTGGGTTGATGGAGAAGGGAAGCCTTTTATTTATAGTTTTTTGATTGCGTTGTAGTGTGTGAATATTTTCAGACTCACATGCAAACAAATATAGTCACAGGCTTTGAGTTGAGTGCACTGGAAAATATTTTGAGGAAAAAGACTACGAGTCTTTTTTGGAAGCTACTTTCACTTTAGTTTTTATTGCTTTTGCAGTGGTGTGTGTGTCACAGAGTGAGTGTGCACAGCTGTTGATTCTTTGGCTGGTGGTTGAGTATGGAGAAAGAAAGAAATGGTCCCCTTACCAGCTGGTTGTGATGTCTCATGCGTACCTCCATTAGAGTTTGTGAATATGTGAGACAAAGAGACTGATGCACGTTGTTTTGTCACAGAGTTCTTGAAATTTATGAATAAGTAGGGTAAATGCAAAAGACACTAGTAGACACAAGATGGCACGCGTTTGGAATGTTAAAATTTAATCGAGACATGAAAAACATCATAATGATGATCAAGACCCATTGTTTTGCCATGGTTTATGATGGATTTTGGGCGAATTCTAACATTTAGGCCGTCAATTTCACGATTTTGCCATTTTTACAAATATTTGATTCACCTGTACTTAGTTTAGATGAATCAAATTTTGTTTAATTTTTTTCAGTACGCTTATTTCTTATTATAGGATTTGATTTTGAGCCTAACTCAAATATTTTCATATTTGGGAAATTCTTATTTTATTTGATTTCAGCTTGATTAACAAGTAATTAGTCTAGGATTTGGTATTTCTCTTTGCTTTAGGTTTCTCAAGTATAAATTAACATGTACATCTTAAGACAAACCAGTTAAATTTAAAGAATTAATAATATTATGAGAGAGAATCTTTTTATGAAATTCGTGCTTGTTTTTTTGGGTTCAAGTGTTCATCCCTGTGGTCAAGCAAAGGAGAGACAGAGGTGCACGGAGCAATAGTTCATTGAAGGGCTTGTTTACTGTATTTGTGGATAACCTACCAAACTCAGTGGAGCCTAAAGGGGTGTTCAAACTCTTCACTAAGTTTGGAATAGCAAAGGATGTCTTTATCCCACAAAAGAGGAGGAAAGCCACACACACAAGGTTCAGAAAGCAAATGGGTTATGGGTGGATGACAAGGCACTTGAAGTCAAATATGCTGAGTATGCTAGAGATCAGAACATTAGCAAACCTCAACCCATCCCCACCAGAAGAAATCCTGCTGTTGTTGAAAGAAAAGAAGGAGTCTACATCCAGCGTAAATCCTTTGCTAATGCCTTAAAATCAAACATAGGCATTCCACAAGGTAAAGCTTATTCTACCATTACAGTGAATGAAGATGGTCATGGGTGGTTGTATGAAAGTGTAATAGTAAGACTCAAAGAAGAGTACACCTTATCCAGCATCAAGCAAGCGCTAAAGGATAAAAAGATGGGCAATATTCTTGTCAGAAATGGAGGAGGGAAGGATGTTGTCCTAACATTCAAGTCCAAAGAAGAGATGAAATCTAATTTCAGACTAGTTAATGAATGGCTAAAGGAGTGGTGCGAATTTGCTACAGAATGGAAGCCAGATATGCACCTTGAGTAGGAGAGATGTTTATGGCTAAGATGTTATGGAGTCCCACTAAACCTTTGGAACAGAGACACGTTTACCAAACTAGGAGGAATATGGGGAAAGGTCCTAAACCTTGATAGTAATGCTTGCCAACCAGTGTCCTTTTGTTATGGCTGAGTTAGGATTGCAACTAAATGTATAGAATGTATTAACAAAGAAATACATCTGGAATGCAAGGGCAAAATCTTTCCAGTCTTAGTTTATGAAGAACAAACTAATATTGAGAAAGATTATATTTCATCCATTGATTCTGCGGAAGACTGCAGCTCCAATATGATAGCCAGACAAGAGCATGAAGATCCCATAAGGATTGAGGAAGATAAGGTGACCTGGCAAAGAGAATGGAGATAAATGATACTGAGCTGGCATCTTTTAATGATGTGGATCCTATTCAGAGGGTAGAGCAGACCTATAGCAGAGCTGAGGTGGACAGGGTAGTTGAAGAATCTAAAGTGGAACATCACTGTGACAGAGAGGAAGGGGATACGGCAGTTACAGAGACAAAAAATGGCATGGGGAGCAGCTTTGAAGATGATGCACGCATGGCAGACCCACAAAAAAAAGGCTGCTGAACTTAGATCACTAACCAATAATGACAATCAGAGGTTAGAAGGCCATTTGTACACACCTGGTTTTATTAGGAGCCTCAGTGCATCTGCACGGCTTAGACCTGGCATAGACTTGGAGATTGATTTGGACCATATCCTTAATGAACCTGGCCCATCAGTTTCAAACCTTAACAGAGTTATTAATCTTAGCTCTGCTAATGGTGGATCACTTGGGCCTTCAAGGACCAAATCGATTTCAGACACACCACATTATAAAAGGGCTCAATCTGGGAAGTAAACCCAAATCTAAAGTCAAGCTGAAAGGAAACAAAAAAGTAAGTCTAAGGTACTCACTCAGTCTGAAATCATCTCCAGTTTCGTCAGGTTTCATAGGCATAAAGGGGCTTCCTCTAGTAAGCCTTCACCAAAAAGGGCCATATTCAGAGCTGCTGTTGCAGCTATGTCACTTTCAGCTTCATTTGAGAATGGTGATAGAAGGGAAGATATATCCTAAATGAAGCTCAAGCTACAATGCAGATAGGGATAGTTCTAGGGCTCAACTTCAAAGGTAAGAATTCTGATACTCTCCACAAAATTGTTGAATTAGAACTCAAAGATAAAGAAAGAAATGGAGGAGAGGAGAAAGATGGGCAGTAAACAGCTTTAGCCCAGGTGATTTTGGTGTTCAATTTTGTTAATTAATGAAGCTACTGTCATGGAATGTTAGAGGATTGGGAAAAGCTGAGAAAAAAAAGGAAGAATAAGGAAATTACTTAGGGAAAAACAAGTGGAAATAGCACTCTTTCAACAAAAAAATCCTTTATGGCCAAGAAATAGTATGGAATTTATGTTAGTTGATTTAGAGGGATCTGCTGGAGGCCTGTTATGCATTTGGGATCCAGAGATCTTCAAGTTACATAGTTGCTGCAGTAATAGGAGATTCATCATACTCTCAGGTGCACTCCATAATTTTTTTGAATGTATACTGTTAAATGTATATGCCCCAAATAATGCTAGCAGTAGAAGCAAATTGTGGGATTGTCTTATTAACCTCAAAAGAATCTTCCCTAACCCATGGTGTATGAGTGGAGATCTCAATGAGATTAGAAATATTGAAGAAAGGATTGGATGCTCTAGAAGGGACAAAGGGATGAAAGAGTAATGAATTTATTGATAGAAGTGAGCTAACTGATTTACCTTTGCTTGGAAGGAAATACACTTGGTGTAATGCACAAGAAAATGAGAAATGGAGTAGGATTGATAAAATTATGCTTAGCCCCGAATGGTTTACCAAATTCAAATTGAAGTTATGGGGCTGCCTAGACTTCTCTCTGATCACTGTCCTCTCTTGATAAGGGAGGATGAGAGGGATTGGGGCCCAAAACCCTTCAGGTTTATTAATGCTTGGACCTTGCACCCCTCCTTTCCCTCTTTCTTGGAAAGCATCTGGAAGGAAACTTCTGTCAATGGAGGACCTGGGTATAGTCTTTTGCAAAAGCTAAAGTTGTTGAAGCTTGTTCTCAAGAAGTGGAACTGTGATGTCTTTGATAACATTTCCTCTAAATTGAAAGTAGCTGAGGAAGAGTTACATATATTGGATCTCATTGCTAAAGACAGACCACTGATAGATTCAGAAAGAGAAAGTAGGAGAGCGATGATAGGTGAAATATGGAATCTTAGCAGAATGTTGGAATGGATGTGGCAGCAGAAATCCAGAGTTAACTGGACACTTAAAGGGGACAAAAACACTAGGTTCTTCCATGTAATGGCCAGTTGTAGACAAAACAGAAACGCCATCAATTCCATCTCTGTTAATGGTGTTACTCATGTAGATCCTGTCAAAATCAAACATGAGGCCCTTCTACATTTTAAGAAATAGTTCACAGAAGATTGGGCTAATAGGCCATCTTTAGGAGGTGTGTTCAAATCAGTTGCAGAGAGTCACTTTTCCAAGAGTTAGAAAGTGAGTTCTCTGAAGCTGAAATTAAGGCAGCTGTTAAAGAATGCAATGGCAATAAAGCTCCAGGCCTAGATGGCTTCAATCTGTTATGTTTTCAGAAATTTTGGAAGGTTATGAAAAAGGAGGTTCTCATGTTCATCGAAGATTTCCACACCTACGGCAGACTTGCTTATGGCCTTAATAGTTCCTTCATCACACTTATCCCCAAAAATGAAAATCCTGCAGGATTGGGGGACTATAGACCTATTAGTTTGGTGGGCTCCGTTTACAAGATTATCTCAAAAGTCCTAGCACATAGACTGAAAAGAGTTCTTCCTGAAGTAATTGGAGTTACTCAATCTGCTTCTCTTAGAGGAAGGAATATTGATGGTGTTCTTATTGCCAATGTAGTTGTGGATAGTTGGAAAAAATCCAAAAAGAAAGGTATCATCATTAAACTAGACTTTGAAAAAGCTTTTGATTCAGTTAATGGGGAGTTTCTTCTTTCTATGCTCTCTAATTTTGGTTTTGGTCCAAAATGGGTTGCTTGGATGAGAGAATGTATCTCCACAGTAAGGCTTTCTGTTCTAATTAATGGATCACCAACTGCAGAATTCTCTCCACAAAGAGGGTTAAGGCAAGGCGATCCCCTCTCCCCTTTTCTGTTCAACTTACTAGTAGAAGGTCTCAACATCCTTAGGACTAGAGCTCATAAGCAGAATCTTATTAAGGGAGTGAAAATTGGGAGGAAGGAAGTAGTTATTTCTCATTTACAATTTGCTGATGATTCAATCATCTTCTGTGAAGCAGATATGGAGCAATTAGTAAGCATTAAAAGGGTGCTTTGATGTTTTGAGCTACTCTCTGGGCTGAAAATAAACTATCACAAAAGTGTTTTATGTGGATATGGTGTTGGTAATGAAGTCTTATCAGCCATGGCTGACCTCCTCAATTGCAAAGTACAAGGCCTGCCTCTGAAGTTCATAGGTTTGCCCCAAGGTGCTAACCCTGGGAAAAAGTCCACTTGGAAACCTATCATAGAAAAAGCCAAATCAAGATTAGCAGGCTGGAAGAGAAAGCTGCTGTCTTTTGTAGTAAGACTCACCTTAATCAAATCAGTGGTATCCAACCTTCCTCTCTATTACCTGTCCCTATTCAGAATGCCTTTGGGGGTGGCCAAAGAGCTAGAGAAAATTGAAGCTTTCTTCCTATGGGGAGGTACTGAATTGAAGAAGAAAATTCATATGGTGAAGTGGACAGAAGTAACAAAAAGTGCAAGTCTTGGAGGCCTAGGAATATGAAGAATTATTAATGTCAATACTAGCCTCTTGTTAAAATGGTGGTGGAAGTTTGGATATGAGCCTAAAGCTCTTTGGAGAAAGGTTCTCTGTAGTAAGTACTTGATTGATAAAGATAGGTGGCAGCCAATCTTAAGGCCTTCCTGCAAATACTCTAGGGTGTGGAGTGACATCATATCTATTGCTATCCATAACCAGCCCCTCTGCAAATTCTTTTTGGACAACTTTCTAATTAAGGTCGGTGATGGAAAGAGAGTCAAATTCTGGTTTGATAAATGGTGTGGAAACATTTGTCTCAAAGATGAATTCCCAAGTCTCTTCAGATTATCTGCTAATAAGGAAGACACTCTACCCTTGTTCTATGATAAAAGATCATCTTCAGGGAATTGGAACTTATCTTTCAGAAGAACACCTTATGAGTGGGAATTGGTGAAAATTACTAGACTGTACAGTGCATTATCTACTACCCCAACCCTCAGGATTGGAGAGGCTGACAGACCTGTTTGGCTTGGCTCATCTTCAGGTTCTTTTAAAGCAGCTGATGTGTATAATTTTAGCAATGCCTCCCTTGGTCCCAGTTATAATATCTGTAAGTTCATTTGGAATAAAGATATCCCTCCCAAAATTCAATTCTTCAGCTGGTTGGCTTGGAAAGACCGAATCAAATCTGCTGTTTTCCTTCAAAAGATTGGGGTTCTCAATGTTAATGCTGCTACACTGTGTATCTTCTGCAAATCTGAATCTGAATCAGCCAGCCATGTGCTATTATTTTGCCCATTTTCTTGATCTGTTTGGTCCAAAATGCTGTAGTGGTGGGAGTTTCAATGGGTGACACCAAGCTCAGTTGAAAGTCTCTTTCATTGGTGAAAGGGAGGTAAATTTAAAAGCTTGGAAAAAAGGATATGGAGAGCTCTACCATTAATCACCCTCTGGTCACTCTGGAAGCTGAGGAATGAGTGCATTTTCAATGGAGTGCAGCCCAATTGCTTTGAGTTGAGTGAGCTTATAAAGGTAAGACTTGCATTATGGATCAAAGCTTCAATACAAGACTTCCACTACTCAGTGAACGACTTAATATTCAATCTAAGTCAGGTGAGGCTCTGCCTCTGAGTGTGTCAAGGTGCTTGACTAATAGGTTGCTTGGGCTGCCTTCAAGGTGGTTGGCTGTTAGGCTGCTTGGGCTGATAGGCTGATAGACTCTGCCTCTGCCTCTGCCTCTGCTGTTTGCTGTATGCTGTGTATGCTGTTTGGGGTTTGCTATGTATGCTGTTTGGGGTTTGCTGTATATGCTGTTTCTGGCTATTCTGTTTAGAGGAGTAGTTTTTTCGCTATTACTTCAGAGTGCTGCTGTTCGGTTCTGGTCTGCTTCTGTCTGTGGTTGTTCCAGTCTGTGTAGGTTCTATGGGGTGATAAAATGGAAACTCAATGGTTTGGAGCTGGTGTAGAATGGTGTTCTTGTTTGTTGTTGTTTTGTTTGATGGGTTTTTGTTTGTTTTGATTGGTTTCTCGCCAATCTTGGGTTAGTGCTTATATATGATTGTGTTTCCTTTGTGGTGCTAACCTAGTTGAGATTGTAAAGGTTAGCTATGATGCTTGTGCATTTCCCTGATTTGTTGATATATCTTTGCATGTATCTTGCTTTTTCATCAATAAATCCCCTTCCATGCATGAGAGAGAGAGAGAGAGAGACATTACCAGCTGGTTGATTTCTGATGACCTCATTTTGAGCTTGTGAATGAGGGAACAGATGGAAAATGAAAAGGGAAACAAGCCATAAGTGTCCCATATCTACCAAAGCAGAAGAACAAAAAGTAGTGCATTATTGCATTGCATTTGCATAGACCATCTTTGCTGTTAGTTCTGGCCAGGTTGTCCCTCATTTTTTTTTGTTGTTGTTGTATGATTCCGTTTATTTCTAGTCCACTTGCTATGTGGTTTGAACCGGTTTAGTTCTAACTCGTAAATTCATCATGAGTTCTATTTTAATAATTTGATTAGTTGATTTTTAAATCTCAATATTTAAATTATCCACACACAAAAATCAAATTGATTTTGATAATTGTAACTCATGATTTAATCATGTGTTTAAAAATATGAATGATAACTATAATTTTGAAATTAAAAAATTCAATTTTTTAAAAACAAATATGACAAAAATAAGTGGTTACAATTGTCCAAGAACTTTATTTTTTTAAATAACAATCTATAAAAAAATTAATGAATCGATAATTATCAAAATGAGGCTCGCAGTGGACCATAAGTCCAAATAGAACCGTCCAACCCTTTTAGAGGAGTAGACAAAAGCCAAATTCTTTTTATATTTTCTCTCGTTCTCGTAGGAAATGAATAATTTAGAGTAATTGATATGCCCCTTGGTGGTGCCGATTTCGAGTTCACCTTCATGATCTAAATAATTTATCTTATAGAGTCGAATAAGAACATCCTTAATATAAAAAAATTCAGTTGGCCAGCTACTAATAATCACATGATTTATATTATATTTATCTTAAAAAAGTAAATGTCTTTTTCTAAAGTCGCTAATTCTGAACCCTGTTTCGATAAATCGAATCGTTCATTTTGTTGGGCATTTCATATATTTCATTCATAAAAGAAATTAGATTAATTCAATAACTACTACTTGTTCAATTTATTGTTTTTGTCATAAAAAATTGTATGACACATTTTTTAAAAACACAATAGTCCATTTTTTTTAGTGAAAAACATGATAAATTGAACAAGTTACAGTTATCTGATTGACCTAATTTTTTTGTGAATGAAATAAATGAAGTACCTAACAAATTGTATAGTTCGGATTATTGAAACGGAATCCGTGATGAGCCTCACAGGCTCAAACAGTCCCCTCTAGTCCAGATTTTGGACTGGAGAGAATCGTTCTTATATATATATATGGGTTTTGATTTTTTTAAGTTTTTTTACAATCAGACGTTTGAACTAGTTTATGCGCACCTTGATTTATCTCGGGACTCACACAAAGCACTCTCTCCACATGGATGCTCTCAAGTTGGCCATCCAACCAACTTGAGAGAACAATTTAGATTTGATGGGCTCATTTTAGGACCGACTTAGATAATTTAAATTATTCATTTTTTAAGATTCATTGAGGAGAATATTTATGTAAAACATCAAGATGATCAAACATGAGTAATTATATGTTTAAAACATATTTCTATTATAAAAAATAAATAGTTATTCTTGAAATTATATTTGTCATCCATTTTTTATGACAAATATAATTCAAATATATAGTTATCAATATTCAATTTTCAAACAACGACTAATTGATTATCTTGATTTTTTATATCAATATTACATACTTAAATGAGTCATAAAAAATGAACGATTTGACTCGCAAAGATTGACCTCAAAACGAATCCATTAAACCCAACTATTTTTTCAAGTTGGATAGCCGAAAATCCAACCCTATATATATGAATCCGAATTTGCTACATCTAAACTTCATGGTAAAGTTAACCTATTACCAGACTAATTTGAACTTATTTTGATAATTCAAATTGTTCATCTTATATAACTAATTAAGAAAATTATCCACATAAAAAATTAAGTTGAATCTATATCGATTATCATACTATTAAATCATTTTTATCTATATGACCTACATAT